CTACGGAAGTAGATTGCCCAACCTTCCTTCCGAGGAGTGGCTGGTGGGTTTGAACCGCCAGCCTTCTGGTTAGCAGTCAAGTGCCTTAGGCACTGTGCTACCAGAGCTGGAGCATCTTAGTGATGTGTTATATTCCTTTTTGATAAATATCAACAACAATAAATCATCTTCATTTATTCAACAAGTATTTGAATACCTATTACAATCTGTATATAAATAAATTATCTTCATTTATTCAACAAGTATTTGAATACCTATTACAATCTGTGATTATTACAATCTGTTTATAAAACTCTTGTTGTTGTTGTTATGTGCCGTCAAGTCAGCCCCAACTCATAGCGGCCCCTCCTTGGGTTCTGAGGCAGTCTCACTACGGAAGTAGATTGCCCAACATTCTTTCTGAGGAGTGGCTGGTGGGTTTGAACCGCCAGCCTTCTGGTTAGCAGTCAAGTGACTTAGGCACTATGCTACCAGAGCTCCTATAAAACTCTTAAACAAGCATTATTTATTTGATACTCTCAAGGATTTTATAAGGAATCAGGACCATGTCCATTTTAGAGATAAGGAGGCTTAAAGAAACTAAAAGCAGGATTTATTTATTTATTTTGCTGTCCACCTGCTACTTCCTGCATAGTTTTTCAATCTTATACATATAGGGAGGAAGATAAGGCAATCTACTTCCATAAAGATTTACAGGCTTAGAAACCCTAGGGGCAGTTATACTCTGCCCTACAGGGTCACTATGAATTGGAATCAACTTGATGGCACTGGGTTTGGTTTACACATAAACCTAAGTATATACTGAAATCGGAAGGAAGGTTGGGCAATCTACTTCCGTAGTGATACTGCCTAAGAAACCCAAGGAGGGGTCACTATGAGTTGGGTCCAAATCGATGGCACATAACAACAACAACATATACTGAAATAAATTTTTAAAATGCTATAACTAAGTAAAAATATAAGGTATTATTGAAAGAGAAGGAGTAAAAATGGGGGACTATTTCCTCCTATATACTATACTATACTACATTATATCTTTCTTGGAACCATTCCACGTGGTTACTATATAAGTCTAATAATGATTGTTCTGCAGGCTGATGGCTAAGCCTAACTTTTGTCTTTGGGCCACATGTCTTCATTAATAAATGTTTGTTGAGGATGTCCAAACACAGAATGTTAGTTTGCTGTGCATGCCTGAAAGATTCTCCTACTGAAGAGAGAAAATCAAGTATCTACTGGGCCAGCTAAAGAATGCTTCTAACACAGTGAAAACACAGAAATTTAATACTGAGTTATACTGAAAATGTTAATAATAAAGGATAAAGAACTAACACTCTTCATATTGTAGAGGACTAAGTTTTCCCCAAGAATACTTTGCAGTATGAGTGCAAACATCACAAACTACTTACCTGATTTCAGGTGTAACAATCTCTGCTGCCAGACTATCTGAGGACTCTTGACTTCCCAGAGGCATCAGTCCTATAAATATACATACAGGAATACATGGTTAATAGAAAGTAGAACTATCACCTTTAGTTAGGTTATAAAATTTCTATATGAAACCCTACTTTGAGCATTAATTTTAAATGTGAAAATCTTTGTAGTTTTTTCTCAAATATGTCACAGTTTTTAAAATCAATTGAGAAAGCATATTAAAAGTGGAGCAACTGTTACTGTAATGACCCCAATGAATCATACCTCCTTATATTCACATCTTTGTATACATTCCTTCCTACAGTGACTCTGAGCCTGGCCATGTGACTGGACTTAAGCAACAGGACACTAACAATCATGACTCAAGTATGGGCTTGAAAAGTGCTTGCATACTGAAACCTTTCTTGGTGTCCTGAAACCACCCAGTGAAGAAACCAGGTAGCATACTGGAAAGTAAGACCAGGTGGAGCAATGATGAGCCATCACAGCTGAGGGTTCTTGGACCAGGGGTTGGCAAACATTTTGTGTAAAGGGCCAGATAGTAAATATTTCAGTGTTGCAAGTACTTCATTTCTTTTTATGGATGCATCAGTAGCTCAATCTTTTTTATTGCCAAATAGTATTCTAATATATGGACGGAGCACATTTTGTTTATCCACTTACCAGTTCATGGACATTTAGATTATTTTCACTTTTTGGCCATTATGAATAATATTGCTATGGGCATACAAGTCTTTATGTGGATATATGTTTTTCTCTGTCTTGGGTAGATACCTAAGAGTAGAATTGCTAGGTTGTATGGTGTATTTAA